ATGTGATGATTCGAGAAGGGGGTCTTTTGTGGAAAGACGATGCAATGAGGAAATCATTATGGGTCATAAAGTCCAGGAGCTTGAAATAATTGGTGGTGACAAGGTCGTCGTTGGGTGGTTCGCTGGGGAAGACTGCCTTTCCAATGTGTGATTGAAATTCCTCTAGGTCCGTGGGGACGATCCTAGCGTTAAAGTCCCCCATGTATATAAGTAAGGAGGGCTTCTTCAAATTGTCGCTTGTCACATTTTGCCACGGGCCGTTGTGACAGTGCCGCGGATCAATGGTTCGCTTCGAGGAAAACAATCAATCGTCGCTTGCATGCTTTGAGGGGAAACCATTGGTGTAGGATCTGTAATTGTTCGCTGATAGACCGCACGTTTGCATATTGCCCGGAAGTTTTTAAAACGATTCCTGTTTGTCTAAAGAATGGTATGGCGGTCCACAAGGACCACTATTGTACGGCACACCTCTCGCTCTGGTACTATCGTCGAGGCGTTAGGCACTACTCAGTTTATTATGGTAGCAAAGCCCGCAACTTATATCAACATCTCTGTGCTGCGAGAGCCGCCAGCGGCACGCCGGGGGGCCACGGTCAACCCAAACAGGTATTACGCAATTTCCTTGGACTTCATAACGGCGCGAACCGCCGCACCATTTATGAGGCGAGTGGCCACGAATCTCGCTGTGCGTCGGAGGGAAATTCTTCTCGAAGTCATCAATGTTTGCGCTCCACGCGCGCTATGTTGAGCCGACAATCTAGATACCAAGCCGAACGATCAGATTCTAGACGCAACTATCGTCAGTGGATTAAGCACGCGCTGGAGGATGGAAAATTTACCCTAGTCCATCCCCGGCTCCCTCCGAAAAGGGTAACGAACAGCCCTGCGCAAATTGAATAGCAGGGACTGCAGAACAAAACATGTTATCACCTGGGGACTTTGCCTGCGTTCGATGTGCTGAGAGCGGCCATCAGCGCCATCCTTTGCCATCCAAACTGCTTCGACTGCAAGGCATGTGCAATGGCAGCATGTGCTTTACCGCTCGCACTTGGTGTAGATAGAGGCTGTACGACGGAGGACACTCAAGGGCCATAAAGTCACTAGGGCCACTCGGGCAGGAGAGACCTCTGCAGCTGCACATGACATTGTATCTCGTGCAGCTCGCTTCAGCTCGGTCAGACAAGAACAACATAGGTAAAGCCTGCTTCTACGAAAGCATGGGACCACCCGAAGCGGGAGGGGTGCCGACAAAGAAGAACAAAATCAGCTGCGCAAGGCAGACAGACCCGCAATTAAGCAAGGAGAGCATGCCGAAACTTTCTCTGCAAGCCAGGAGCAAAATCATGGCAATGTCGATGCCGATCAATGCAGCAGTCGCCTTCATGTCGGCACCTGCTCCACTTTGTACATCCGACACTGGTCGAAGAGTTGAGAAGGTAACACACAACAGCCTGGCCTCGCATAAGCGCCAGGTCCAATAGCATTAAAGCAGTTGTAAAGCACCAGTCCACATACCGAAGGCAGTAGACGTGCCTGATACTCACCGTCCGAACCATCGGCTCTAAGCTTCCAACGAAAACCCGCTCAAAGCTCACACGCTTGAAAGCCTGCCATCCACCACATGTACGAAGAGTCCCGAGGACATGCCCAGGTAGGCAGAGCCCGCAATGAAGGTCACCAAGCAGGCTATCTCAGTGAGGGACTGCCCACTTAAAATTAGCATTCCGCATAACAACAATATACTTGGCAAAGCAGTGCAATCACTTCTGAACGTTGTAGTTGTAATCTAAGCCTCGCACCATGTTGTAGGGTCGAGAGACGTCTTTCTGCCCCATGAAAAACAGGCATAGGCAGCTCAAGTAGAGAAACACCGATGACATTCCCATGACAGCCTGCAGGCATGCTGCGCATGTGTCAATTATCGGCAATACTGCAAAAACTTGCAAAAGAAATGCATTGCTCAAACAGCTGCGTCTCTCACAGACTGCACTCCCAAGCCTGGACGATAGATTGATCAGGACTGGTGTCCGTCATTGCTCCTGGGCAGGACAGCTCGGAAGCAAATTCCGAGTGCGGCGGCAGCAAACAACTCTGTTTCCTCGGTCCTCCGAAAGCAAGGTGCTACCAGGAACACAAACCTTCTAGCTGATCTTCCGAGTGTCTGAGCCAGGCGATGGCCCGGACACTTCGGCAGCAACCGGACAGTTTGAACCGTGTAGCTGCTCGGTGTCAAGCAATGGACGGCAATGGAGACAGCATCACCACGGTGATGGAGCTCGTTCTCCAACATGGTGCAGCACAACGGCACTGTGTGCGTTACTTCGCTCGGCGACGAAGTCGCAAGAGAAAAATATAGGGACGTTTGTAGACTTTTCACGGCGCACATGCGCCGCCTTGATTGGCGAAACTTGTCTACAGGCTGTGCTTGGACCGGAGAGGTCCAAACATGTCGAAGAATCCGGGACGCTCTGTCGAAAGACTCTGCTGGGTCTACTCCTGTCTGGCTAGATGGCTAGAGAGCGCCGTGCTGTAACATTCGTCGTTGAGATTTTTCGTGGGAGCCTTTGTAAGTGCTGAACAACTCATCGTTGCCCGAGCTTGCACAGGTCGCAGGACCCGTCGACAAATTCGTGGCTTTACGGTGCAGCCCTTGGCAGTTTACCGTACCTCCAGCATCAAAACACCAATGAAGCCTCTTAGCCCGTCATGCGTCTTCGGTTTTTATCCGACAGCAGCTCGCCACAAAGCCTCTCACCGTGTGCCAGCACGCACTGCAGTGTCGAAGGTGCCGCCGGTACAGCTGCAGCTTGCTCCAGAGCATCCTGAGACTGAGAGAAATTTGAAGACATTTCTCTTTGAGCACATCTACTGACCGTGCAGGGCCTAGGACGGATGGCCTACAGACAGGCAGCAGCCGTGGCCACATGAACAAGGACAAGGTGCCAGGACTCGAGACGACGCCACCACGCCTGACATCTATTCCCTAAAAGGCTGCGAGCGGGACATAGCGGGACACTCCACACAACATGTGGACGCGTGACGGTCTACGTGATCTCTTCGCACCTCGGCTGATGCCACGGCAATTCATCTCTGTGAGCATATTCACCGCCACCTCCCAACCTCCAACTCCACAGCACATGCTCAGCAATGCATTTTGATACTTACAGCGTGGAGATTCCGGTCCTCGAGCTCTTGGCGCCTAGGTGTTGCTTGCTGTATCCGCAGGTCGTGGCCGCGGGCCACGAGCCGGAGGCCAAGGACCGCACCCAACCCCAAAAAGGTGGCACTATTTCGAAAAGAACATGTTAGCTATCGGCGTCCAAAACCCAAACTGCTTGGCAAACCCCATACCCCAAAAGAGATGTTGGTTGGCAATCCTACAACCAAATGTTGTTTCGAAGGAGCTGGTGGTCGGCAACGCAGGAAGACGTTGGTTGGCAAAAAGCCCAAAGGAGACCCTAAACTAAACCCTTTACGGAACTGTTGCTCGGACAACCGTAGGAGATGCTGACTGGCAAGACCCAAACCCTAAACCGTCTTGGTTGGCAAAGTTTGCCAGAGCCCATTCCCTGAAAGAAAGCGCGGCCACGGGCTGCGACCTAGGGCTAGCGGACCTCGAGCCGCGACCGCGAACCACGGGGCGTGACCGAGGACCACGCGAAAACCGCGTGGTCAAATAAATTGACGATAGTGTGCACGCGAGATGTGGCTCTTGGATGCAAGATGCCTCCGATTTACCCAGTGTACAAACTGCAGCCTGGCAACGCAACGCGCCGGCACAGGCTGAGACGATCGAGGTGAAAGTAACTTCGTTCGGCTGCAACTGCTCCTCCCGCATTGCCTGGGGGAGGGAAGCCGTCACTAGCTACAAGGGCAACACGGACACCATGGCCCACATGGCCTTGAGAAGCACGAGGGTGCGCCTTAGTGCAAACTCAGCAAAGACCAGCAAGTATACTTATTGGAGCCCCACCGACTGCACGATACCGGATTACAGAATCTACCCTGTCTGCCCTTCTAGGATGGCCTCCACTGGGCCTCGCCGCATGAGCCGATGGCCGCGCTCAGGGCCACCACGTTGGCCGCCAGATCTGTGGACTTTGGATCAGTAAACGGCTCGGGCATGCTCGGGCGTAGCTGATTACACCCGAACGTGGCAGAAAGCACAATTGTGCGCGACACAGCGGCGAGCAAAGACCAGCTGTGGCTCATGCAGTTGGATCCATTCACAGGATAACGGAATCACTTGTGCCGGTTCACAGGCAGTAGCTTCCCTGCACAGCCTGACATTGATTCTGCCGATCCTGGCATAGGCTGTCGAGCCTTGTCCACGCAGTTCATCCAGAAGTGCCAGGCCTAAGGAATGGAGAGGCACCGAGCCTAATCCTAGCAGCTTAGCTTTTGCCGACAGCTTGGCATTCCACTGATGCTATCATTATCTGGTGTGTCGAAAGCAAAGCTGCGTGTATCGAGTACGACTGTGCAGCTGAGTGATGCTCCGTGTCGCCACTTCTTGCACTTCTCGCATGCACTGATGGCGGCACCGTAGCTCACCACATCGGCCGCGACTTTCGCATGTCTGAAGTGCAGCACATCACGAGTAGGGCTTTTTCAGTAAGTGTTCGATCTTGTTCGAATGCAATGTCATCGCGCTCGTTTATGCCCGTCTTAGGTGCCCATTACAGAATAAATGGCCTCTCCTCCCCCACCAGATCTCCTCCTTCTCCGCATCCTGTGGTCCTCCCCCACCCGCAAACACAACGTCGACGGCGACGACGACTTCTCTTGTGACGGCAGACGAGAGTAAACATGCCCCATCCCCCCAAGCAAGATTACAAAAATGACACGTCATTTTGCCCGACCCGGGCCAAACCGAAATATCAAAATGACCGTCATTTTGCCGGGCTTGACGGTTCCAGTTTCCCGGCACCTAGTATAGTACTAGTACTAGTACTAGTACTAGTACTAGTACTAGTACTAGTACTACTACTACTACTACTACTACTACCACAGTTGACCAACAGTTGACCACAGGTCCCAGTAACAGTCAGGTAACTGTGGCGTAAAGTGCAGACAGGTGATGTGGCGGTGCGAAAGCAACTGCTTTAGTGGCGGATGTCAGTGGTGGTTGTCGTCGTCTTTACCTTTACAATTTCGCAGCCGCAGGAGCTGAAGTAGTCGTACCGCAGCAGTAGTGGTCTCGTCTCTGCGGAAGGGTAAGCATGGTGAAGGTGGTGGTTGTGAAGGTGCGGACTCGCACGGCAGCACCGGGTCGCAGACAGTCCACAGGAGCATCATTTTGGTAATCTTGTTCATCTTGCTGGCCACGGGCCAGTACCACTTGCACAACTTGCACCACTTCTACCAATTGCACGACTAGCCCCACGGATACCTGTGGTGCCACTTGCACCACTTGCGAACCAAGATTACCCCTGCAAACACTGAACCGATGAGCGTGCCGGGCGCGCACAACCATAAACCCTAATCCCTAATCAAAACCCTGATCCCAAAAACCTTACAACCCCAAAACGAACCCTATACCCAAACTGAAACCCTCAAACCCTGAACCGATACGCACGCCGGGCAACTCAACCCTGGACCCTGAACCCTACTCCTTAACTAAAACCCTAAACTCGTATAACCTACAACCGAGGCCGCCTAGGCCCTGAACCCTTTTCCCAAAACCCAAACACCTAAACCCTAAACCACCGGGCGCGGGCAAGCTTAAACCCTAATCCCGGTAAGAGTGCCTTTTTTGTTGCTGTCGTCGGTTTCTTGCTGTCGTTGCATGGAGCGCTCCGGGGACGACAGCAACAAAAACGAGCCTACGACAGCAAGAAGAAAACACACCACCGAATGATTCGGGGGGCGCGTTCTTTTTTTGCTGTCGTTCCCGGGGGCTTTTTTTGTTTGTTGCTGTCGTTGTTTTTGTTGCTGTCGTTGCACGGGCACGCTCCGGGGACGACAACAAAACAGAAAGGCACCAGCAAAAAAAGAACACGTCCCCGCAACGACAGCAAAAACAAACATGCCCCGTCTGTTTTGCTGTCGTGCCGAAAACCGGGGTTCACCCACTGACTGGCTTCCTGGGCTTGCGCACAGACAGCAAAAAAACAATACGGGTTCGTCCTGGCAAAATGTTTTTGTGCTGTCACCATTTCAATACCAGTACCAGTATCAGAACCAGTACCAGTACCATTACCAGTATCCTACCATTTGCCACTACTACTGCTATTCCTACTGATACAGCTACTGCTACTTCTACGGCTACTGCTACGGCTACTACTACTACTCCTCCTCCTACTACCACTACTGCTACTACTACTACTACTACTACTACTACTGCGACAACTACTACTACTACTACTACTACTACTACTACTACTACTACTATTACGAACTATACCTATGATACACTGCTACCACTACCACAACCACTTCTTTCCTCCTCGTTCTCCTATTGCTGAGGTCACCAGTGAAACTGCTGCTCCCACAGTGAATCGAAGCCCAACTCTGTCTCAAAACCCACAGCGCTTGCCAGCCCCCCCGGCCAGGTTAAAGGTCTCTGTCCTCAACGTTTGAGACTTGCAATGGGAAAGCCGAAGGAGCCAAAGCGAAATGGTCTTCCTCATTGTGCCGCCGCTGCTGCTGCTGCTGCTGCTGCTGCTGCTGCTGCTGCTGCTGCTGCTGCAACCAGCTTTTGCTGCTGCAACATGCTGCAGCCGCAACACGCCGTTGCTAACACCAGTACCAGCACTACATGGGCAAGCTTAATGGCCTGCCTCATGTCTTCCAGCATTGAAAGCGCTCGCTGCCACTCTGCGCTGGCATCGCAGCTAGCGATCGCCGCATTGAAGATCACGGTGTTTGACCGAATGCTTGCCACCTTCAACACATCTGAACAAAGTCAGCAAGCTGAGGCAACAGCAAGCCTTGAGACGTCGGAGGAGCTCGAGAGACCATTCCCATCTACCTGCGCGACCGCAGCATGTCATGGCCACACCTCGGGAAGGCAAGCATTGTCACGCATCGAAAAGCGGAAACCGGCAAGGCCCAATCACAGAGTCAATGCCACATGCCTAACTTTGCAAGTCCAAGGGCCGTATGCAACGGCATCATCTGCACACTGGAGTGTCTCGTCCTCTGGGCAGCAGCTTCAAGCTCGTGTCATTGCCCAATGCCCAATGCCTTTCCCTGCACGGAGCTTCAGTCACTTCAGTCATTCTCCTCCAGTAACCGCAGCACCACCTCCCATCTCTGCGCGGCCGCTACAGCACTCAGCCCGGCAGCTGCTACCACCGCCGCCCCCGGCGGCTTCTGCGATGGCAAGGCGAATTCGACCAGTAGGCTCCAACTGATCTCTAGGTCGCATGAACCTGCGATCAAAGCCTTCACCCTTTCTGTGTCAGCTCATGTACCCAGTAATTAGGAATGTAAAGGCGCAAGGCGCCAGTGTGGCAGGTAGCCTGCAAAACTACAAATACAGCTAAGCTTGAGCTCCCAGCCTCCACATTGCACAGCAAGCACACCGACACCTGCTCGGATACGGATCTCGGCAGCAAACCAATGGACTTCTGTGTGCAATCCCTCCACCCTCCATCATAGTATGTGAATTGCATTGCGAGTGGATAGTTGGCTCTCGGCCTCCCACTGCTGAGCAGCTGCCAACGCACCCAGAGCCGAGACCTGCGCTGCGGCATCGATCCCTCCGCGAGTATCCAGCACCTGGGGACTCGACACTTCTGGGCTGGTGCGGCTGCTGGAGTAATCGCGAGAGCGACGAACTGCAAATGTCGTGCGCTCGAACGGCCACGGTTTTGATCGCAGCCAACGAAGCCTGCCAGCATCATAGCCAAGCCACATGCAGCAGCGATAGAGCCTGCCACATAACACAAGGCACAGTCTGAAATGTTGTCATGTTAAGAATTCGGAATGCAATTTGCACTTTCACTGCACGACATGAAACCAAGTCGGCAGACAGCTACTCCAACTTGTCGAAGAAGCCGTCATTTGCCATCCACCCGAACATATCAATAAGCCCTGCCATGCACCAGGGGCCACCTGCTGCCAGTGCGCGCCGCAAGCCCAAGCACCCATGGCAATGCTGAAAGAGGCGGCATCCTCGAGTGCAATCCGTGCGACATGCACAACCAAACCCCGACGCTGCAACATCTCACTTCCTGCGAATGCTCCAAGTGTTTTCATGAAAAGGATGTGCTATATTCTGCTGTATGGGCAATTCATGGCAGTTCTCACAATTCTGGTCCCTTTCAGGGTCCTTTTTAAAAGGGTGCCGTGCCCTAATTTGCAGAACCGGCCATGTATATTGTTTGTCTCTCAGGCTTTGGGAACTTGCCAGTACACAGACGATCTATCAGAATCTATCACAACATCGCTGACTGGAACCACTCGAAAGTCAACGGAAGGTCTTCAAACACGGTAAGCACGACGCATTAATCTCACGATGGACCGCTGTGCCCGCAGCGGCCAAAAAACGAACCTGGAAATCAAGACAATCTAATCAATCAGCGCAGGGAGCAATCTGATTACCAGGGTCGTTGCGGAGATCATCCCACAGAAGCAGAGCCAGCCTCGCTAACCAAGAGGACGGGGGCACAAGCAACTCGAAGTCAGCTGAGGGGGGAAGTGCAACTGTCGGCTTACCAGCTGGCGAAATCTAGCCGAATCCAGCCTTTATTCGATCACCCAGATGTTGGAACCCACAATCGAACTCGTACCGCCAGCCCAATGTGATTTGTATTAAATTACACTTCAATTGGGCTGCCCACCTACGCTTAGCCAATGTATGAAATTGGTATGAAATCATGCGACTCACATGCTGTGCACATGTTCAGCAGTCAAGCTGTCAGTCAGATCAGCTGAGCGCTGTGAGGCTTTCACCACATCCTTGAAGTCAATTGCATCCAGCCAGCACTTCTTCAGCGTTCATCTTGGACACCATACACGGGCCCAGGTCCTTGCCCACTTGTTGAATGCGGAGTACACGTCCGTGGTCTTGGAGTCTTGGCAGCAGCACGGAGGAGATGATGTGCTCTATCGCTGCATAGATGGCCGTGCAGCATTGATTCGAGTCCATGCTGGGTGGATGGCTGGATGGGACCGTGCTCTGCCAAAACAATTCGTTCCCCGGTCATCGGCAGCATTCGACGTCCCTGACTTGCCACCCCGGCAGCATGGCTGCAAGGACAAGCCTGCTTGGCAGCACTGCGCAAGCGTCCATGTTGGAGACGGCACAGCACCAGCTTTCAACGCCTTTGGGTCCATGCATGGCTGCACCCAGCTTCAAAACATGGCGCGCTGGCCTTCAGCACTTCAAGAAAGCATAGGACTTCTCGGACAGTACCTCTGCCCAACGTCGGTCTTGTCTGCTGAAGCAGGCGCTGCCAAAACCAGCATTGCACCCAGCAAGTCGCAGGTAACGCACGAGTGCGTACAGACCCCGGCACAAGAGGCTGCAGAATCAAACCCCCAACGGCCCTGCAACCATCGCCTACGTCCCATGCAGGAGCCAAGCTGAAGGTGACGAGGAGCTGCCACTGACTTGCAGAGCTCAAGGCATCCATGGATCCGGTGTAAATGACACGATTCGCTCGAAGGTCCTCGGCTGCATGGAAAGAAAGCCGGAGTTTCTCTGGAAGTCTGAAAGGTGCAGCGTCGTCAAAGATGCCTCGTCTAGTGCTGGGTGCTACGGAATGAGGGCATCAAGAAAAACCTTCTCCCGATAGCCTCCTACACCTGCTACAAATCGGCAAGGAAGAATCAGGCTTAAAGACTGCTGCGGGGCGCTGGCTCGCATCTTCGCGAGGAAGGCGAGGACTCTCCTGAAAAGCAACGGCCCATTGATCCTTCGATCCCATCTCGAGCTTGCACGAAAAGACGAATAGAAAGCTCCGGGCGATACTTACAAAACCACTGCTTGTTCTCCAGATTTGGGCCCGGGGTCTCCCAGGACTGCCCCTGGCCACAAGCATTGATGGCAGCTCCAAAGGACACCTCAGGTGACGGGCTGCCTAGTCACTGATCACCAGTATCTGCCAACAGCTCCTTTGCATGCAGATCAGCTCCGCCTAGGAGATGTTTTCTGGAGTTTCGTTTTCACTGTCCGGGCCTGACTGATATCGACCGGCGAGGGCTAATCTGAATTGCACAGACCAGGTGACTACGGTGGGCAAGAGCTTGTGCTCCTGAACGCAGCAGTGCACGAGTTGGTCCATACATAACTGGCATGCATATATCAAATTCGTCTCGGCACCTCGCACACACAAGGGCCAACATCCGTGCAAATGCCATTTGCTTTCCAACGGCTTGACAACTCTTTTCTGGCCTTCAAGCAACCATTGCGGTACTTACGAGACACACAAGTATGAGTAGACCAGGTGATTGGAGTGAAGGACAGAAAACAACAGCATCGTCCGTCGCACGACACTCCTATTACTATGTGCCTTCAGATTCTGCACCTGCCTGCAACAACCTCATGCAAGGGAACTCTCAGAGTCTGTCCTCCATTTCTTCAAACAGCTCCAGAGAGCCGGGCCAATGACTGCCTTGGATGTCTTGCGCACGGGTCGGATCTCTGTAGAAAGCCAATGACTTGCACTTCTTGATTAATTGAGAATGCCCACACGTAACCAGAGCTGCTTGTACATCTTAGTTCGAGGGACCCCTCTCGCAGGCCGTCATGGCAGTATTGTAGGTGACGACATTTGCCTCCACGCCCTGCAGAACGGTTACACTGCAAAAGTGTCCGACTCTGACGCTGGCCACGGCCTCGACCTTCATCTGATGGAAAAGAAGCAGTGCTCGCTGCCACTGACCCCCTCGCTCACAAGCGGTGATGACCTGAAGGAGGCATTCGCTTCGGTCCCAGCTTCACCCACAAGCTGGCAAGCCAAGGTGCTGAACTGTACGTAACGACTTCGGCACCTCAGCACGACGACCAAGGCGAATGAGTCCTTTCTGCCACCATCTTCACTTCTGAACGGGCTCGTCACAGATCATTGCCGAGAAGCTTTCGTCGATAAAGATCAAGGAAGCCTCCCTGAGCAGCTCTGTAAAGTCTAACGACTGCTGCTTGCATCATGAAGTGAATCTTCCTAAAGTAAACACATCCAAGGTGCCAGGCACCGGAAGCTGCGGCAGCTGCCGAAGCTGCGGCCAGAAGCCAGGAATCTGTGGCAAGGCGACCCCGCCTTGGGAAACTCGCAAAGCCTCCTCTGCTCGTTTTGATCTTGCTCTCTGCCGAGACATGCGCCTATGGATATGAGGGGAGGGGGGTTTACTGCCTGCAGAGCCAAGACCAGCTGATTGGGGTTGCAGGCTTTTTGTGTCCAGGAGCTGCAGGTCGTCGAGAAGCCAGAATGCCAACTGCCACCTCCAGACGAACAACTGAGAATGTGTAAGCACATTCTAGTTGTAGTGAAGTGGAAATGTAAAATCACGTGAAACAGAGGTAGTGCGACAGGAAGTAGAAGGGACCAGGTGGACCATCTGCAGTGGTAGGCAGGCTGACTGGACAGATGTAGGGATCAGAAACCTCATGCTTTGCAGTAGTGGCTGTTCGAGCCCAACTGGACATGTAGCATGATCTGAAAGGCCTCGCAGATTTTCCGAGAGCACCTACTGCGGCCGTTGCAGTGATCGCATCAGGCGACAAGCTGGCGCGATCCATGCACGCCTGGCGGTGTCCCGTTGCTGTACTAAACCGCAATCTCTTGCACCCCGCTTCGGTGATTCACCGGTTCACCGTTCGTGAAGCCTTCGCAGAAGATCGACAGCAAAGCGACGCACAGACATGGCATGCAAGACCAAAGCAGTCCATCTGACGAGGTTAAGAGGAATTAAGATCAGCTGGACGAGTTGACTACGATAGGCTACAATTAGACTCAATTCGCTGGAGGGGCGAACAGCTGAATGATCTCCTCCCAGCGACCACTGCGAGCAAAGGTCTGAGCACAAGCCTTAGGTTGAAACGGCAAGCGCCACAGATGCGGTCACGACTCTGTCCTCTTTTACGTGAGCTGTTTCCGCAAATGCCTTACTTGTCGCGGCTGACTTGCGACACAGCTATCAATCCCCAATGGCATCATCTTGCCTCAGCACATGAAATGTCAACTCCGACACGAATTCCGACTACACCGTACTGCAGCCCGCATCCCGCGGCTTCCGACAGAAACGCCCCGGATGGCCATGCGAAGCTGCCAAATGAATAAAGCCTCAAGGCATTGCAGGCACGGAGGTCTGGCAGCTGGTCCGGGTCCCACTCCGCAAGGAAAAGGGCGGCAGCCTGAAGCTCTCACTTCGTGTTTCCCTTTCTTCAGCCCGACCGAGTTGTGCATCCCTGCATGCAAAGCTTTGACAGAATTGTTTGACTCGCACAAGGTCTGTAGCCACTTGTGGCTAAGACTCGAGACAGATTACAAAAAACCAAGCAAACTGACAGTAACATCCACAAAAACATTCACATCGGAATGGCAGGCAAGTCATGTTCTCCTTCCGCCACTGCCACGGACTGCACCCAGCAATGTTTGTCGAACACAGGGGTTGTCAATGACAGTTCGTGGAGCTTGGGAGCTTGATATGACTGAAGATGATGTTGCCGCAGTTGACTTGATGGCCACAATTCTGATCAAGATGGTGGGGCTTACGACAACGACGAAGAGCCAGAGGGGGAGGAGGAGCAGGAGGAGCCTGATGAACATGTGGCTGTGAACGGTACTGGGGCTGATGGTGGCACGGGACGAATAGGGAACGATCCTTGTACAATGGCGTCTTGACTAGGACTGGGATATGACAGCAAAAAGGACCGATATCTCATGATGTCAAGTCTGTCACCTCACCATCTTTGATCCAGTCCGCCTGCTGCCATCTTCCTTGCCGCCCCCAATCTCGCACCAGCTGTGTCTTCTGCCTGCATCTCGGCATCAATCGCAAAAATGTCTTCTGAAAAAGATAGCTACCAAGGCTTCTTCAGACTCCAAGCTCGATCCTCCAGTACACATCAGCTTTCTGCATTCCCATCGCCACACCATCGTGGAAGTTAGGTGCAGGCCCCCAGCTCGGGACCCGGTCAATGTGTGCACGTCTGATCAGAATCAAACATGCTGAACGTCAGACTCGCAGCACAAAGAACATGTCTTTGAAACGGCAGGCGCGACACTGAGAAAGAAAGCGATGGCACTAGTGCGGCGCTCCTGTAGGACACGCATCGTTTCAACTCCATGGTTGTCTCGATCCATAAAGCATCACTCTGGAGCGAAGCAGCAGCAGCAGCACCAGCAGCATCAAAACCACCACAACCAGCACCAGCAGCTAGTGCACCGGCGGCAGGAGTAGTGGTAGACTTCGTCGTAGTTGTTGTAGCAGTAGCAGTGGCAGCGGCAGTGGCGGTGGTGGCAGTGGCAGTAGCAGTACCAGTA